GGAATCCCCAAATTCCATCACCTGTGATTTGAAAATTATGTTCTTAAATGGGGCTAAGCTAGCTGTACAGTTTCACTCTGATTAACTCTGTTTACAATGCAACAAAACAAAACAGAACACAATGAGCACTGTCCATATGACAATGTTTGAAAGGAAAGTTTCCCGAAATATGTCTGGTAGAAGAAAATGTATTTCAGTATTTCAGTGACCTTAATCAACTTATGCTTTTAGTGCAGAAATTTAAGTATGGTAAATTATACCCAATAATTTATTTAAGAATTTATTAGCAAGAATGAAAAACCTCTAGACTGTGATCAAATATGTGCTTGTACTTTTTACTGGATACTAATTGGCAGAACTTCACTGTTACATAATTCTAATTTTCCTTTGAAGTTAATGATTTCTATAACAATTGTCCTTTTTAATATCTATTATGATCTTTTGATATCAAATACAAACTAGTTATAGCCTAACTTTATCACTACATCATTAAAATTACTAACATGACCTGGTTCTAATACATTTAGGATCCATTTTAACTCATTAATTTATGTATCATAACTCTCAATCTTCTTCCTTATTAAATAGGTTAGGGCTTTTCTGGTTATATGTTTCTTTTTAGTATTTTTATTAGTGATAGAATAATTTATAGTTTTTTGTGAACATCATTTGAGTTTGAAAAGATAACTTTCAAATGTGCTCCGAGGATGTCATTATAAAATATTTGTGCAAAGTTACTTCAAAAGTAAAACTTGAGATTGATAGTTTTTTTGGTAAAGTATACTAAAACTGAAAAAAAAAAAGTATCATAATTCTTAAAAAAACAGAACCCAAACCCTCCTAAAAACAAATTTTACTTTTTAAATAGATAGATAAGAACTTTTAAAATAGATAAAATTCATTAAGTCCTACTTTTTTCTTCCACATTAATTCTATCTTCAAAGGTGGAATAAAGAGATCTAAACATTATTTAAATTACAACTTCAGTAAACAAGATTTTTTCCACTTGTATTTTATCTTAAAGCTTCAAGAAGAAAGAAAAAAGACCCTCATGAGATATTTAAGTTTGTTTCACATAACTGGAACTATAACTTTCCTCTAACTTTGGGCAGTGCACAGGGATTTTTGTGTGTTTTGTGTGCTAACAAATACCTTTCACCTAGAGCAGTGCCTGGCACCTAATAGATGTTACAATGAATATTTGTTGAATAGATGAATACAGAAAAACATTTAAAATAGGATGATCATCTAAAAGGCAATAACAATCCATCTGTCCAGAATTAATGCCCAAGATGGTGTGTATGTTAAGGCCTTAGACCTAAGCATTATCTACATAATCATAATTATTTTTGTTGGAACAATAGCTGAACCAGATCTTTTCCTGATATTAAGAAGTACTATGAATCTATAAAGAAAAAGGTTAGAAACCAGCAAGTTCTAAAACATTTCTTGGGATATAAAAGCCTCCATAGAATCCAGGTCATAAAAATACTTGGAAAATCAAGACTTGACAAGTGTCTCTCCAGGCTTAGGAAAGCAATTCAGAAGCAACTAAATTCTAAAAACACAAAAGGTTTGTCTCAGCAGCAGCACCAGGGCATTTTACAATAATTCCAAATTGCCTGTGGCATCTTTTTACTGGTTTCCCAGTATTAGTTTTAGAGTTAAAAGGAACCAATCTGGAAAGGGCCTGCAGGAAACACAAATAGCAGTTTGCTCTACTCCTAATGTTTTCTCAAACAGTCATCAGAAATAGAAAATAATATTATACTTTTCTTCCTATATAATTTTACAGATAATATGAAACTCCCTAATGCTTCATTTACTTTGGAAAAATAAGGAAAATCGTACAATGTTTAAAGAACACTGGGGGGGGGGTGGTGGAGGTGAGAGCATTTATCCAGTTAAGAGTAAGTTATGACCCCCACACTATGTGGGATAGAGAGTTCATTATAATAAAGACACTAAAATTAAAAGAGAATATTTAACGACAGCTAAAAGAACCAGGTGAAATCTAGCTAGAATACAAAAAAATCAAGGGTGGCTTACCAAAAAGTTTACTGAATCATTTTGGAGGAAATAAAGTATTTAATCATAATCAGAGCATATATTTTCACCATCTAAAATATCATCACTGAGTGAGTATGTTCTGGAAGTAAAAAGATGTATCCAAATGGGAAGGGAAAATAAGTATTTAGTCTACAGAGCAAAGGCAAATAATTCCTAAACTTCAGGAGAAAAATATTAACTCTTAGATTTAAAGTATTAAATTGATTTTTATTTTAATTTTCCATTCAAGAGACTAATAACTTAGTCACTGAGTCTCTTTATATTTCATGCTTTTTATTTAATGGTTTATCCTCACACCTTTAAGAGACAATACAGGCAACTGATTTCTATAAAAACTTTTGATTTATATGCAGGTTTTGGGTTGTTTTTCCTGCAAACTATTAGAACAATCTTCAATGAATGATAATTGCTACATTTAGGAAAATGAGTTTCTTCCAAAATCTTACACCAATAACAAACACCTTAATAAAAGATAACAATATCACACTTAACAATAGTGCAAGAGTTAAAAATTAAAAAGTGCACAATCCATGGTGTGAGTGAACTGTGCTAAGGCTTTTTAAAAACTTCCCTGTACCTTTGCAGCCCTTTAATTTTTCTAGTAGGACTTGTCAATTAGAATTATCTTCTTTTTGATCTAGTGAATATTTGCTTTTGATTAATTTAAAACTTGTCACAATTCCAGTTACAAAAAGAAAAAGTGCTCATAGACCCCAACATTAATACTCTCAGAGGCCAAGAGAACTCAACACTAACTCTACATTAAATGTATTGACAACTGCATGCACTCTTTTTCTTCAGGGGCTTTTTATGGATATATGCACATATGTATTTTTTTTTAAATGGAGATGAATGAAGATATGTTAAACTGGTGGCTTCTGCATATCGAGGAGATGCTTCTACAAACTAAGTCAGTTATTCATGCAGATAAAGAAGAATGATCTTATCCCCAATAACGTTTATGATGCAAAAATCTGTTATATTAATTTATGCAAAATCATAAAATATTGATAATCACAGGAGAAAAAATATCAGAATCTCCAAAAGATTTAGTGATTCTATCCTGCTTCTTTCTGTAAAATACTTCAAGCATTTTATAAAAGATTTTTAAGTTGACTGCAAAAAAGTAAATTGGTAAAAAAATAGAATAAAGCATAGATGAATATTCACAAATGGGTAGAAAGAATATGAAAGTATTGCTGTGGTTCAGAATCACTACATGGGTTGTGACATCTGATAAAGTCATTGTCCAGCTAAATTTACATGGACTTAAAATCAATGATAAAGCAATGAGGACTATTAAGGGGGGATGGGAAGGAAAAGTCACTGACTGTAGAAAGAAAATGATCGCTCAGTACCAAACACCTTTGAATGGAAGAGCTACAATGAGGAATGACAAATGTGCTCATCAGTTATGGCCACCCTGAAACAGAAAAAGGAAGTAGAAAAGAGGTGAAGTAAGGAGGCTAAATTTTTCTCTAGGGAGAAAAGAATAAAATTAATCTCTTATCAAATCCTCTAAAAAATTTTAAAAACCTAAGCGTAAAAACTCTATTTTGACTCTTTGACTGTAATAGTTAAACACATTTGAGAGCACATTATGAACAGCAAACCAGGACTCACCTTCTAGAACTACAGACTTAATAAATAATTACTTTTACCATCAAAATAACATTAAGAGGTATTAATGGAAAAAAGAGAATGAAAATAGCCAGTCATATGAGAATCAGAAGGGCAAAGATATGGTTACATCAAGTTTCTCCAAGGAAAGAAAGACATACATTAGATACTGATGGTATTTCAGTTTTTTAGAGAAGTGTCTAAACTTTAGACAATGAGAGTGAGGGAAAAGATCTCTTACTTAAACATGTGAACCATTAGTAATATACTATAAAATATGAAATGATAAATTATCTAGAAAATGATAGTTTTTCTAGAATAAAAAGATAAAGAATAAAGTTCCATGGCCCAAAGCATAATTATTGGTACTAGGCTTTTTGTTGTTTTATTTCTCTTGAGAAGACGGGATGGGGGAGGGGAGGGGTAGGGGACACTGAGGTGGTGACAGAAAAATGTAAGAAGACCAACAGAAGTCAGCAAATGAGAAAACACTGTATACTTCAATGATAAGGCTAATGTCTGAATAATACATTTTCATAGTATATTTTGATATTTTAGAGAAATAGAAGCAAATTAGACTTCTAACGGTAAGTTTATTAACAGCTACCTATAAATTAGAGAAAGGAAATTTAAAAAAACAATATGAAACTAATTTTAATATGCCTTGCCCTGTTTTTCCTGAAATGTAGCTGAGAATCTGTCTATATAAAGTCATGTAAGTCCTTATATAAAATGGACTCTCATGAGGCCAACAATTCAAATTACATCATCAAAATTATCACAGAGCTTTGACATACATTTGTCAACAAAATCAAATAATTATTAAACAGATATTATAGTTGATCTATATATATACATATGTAAATATATATATATATAGTAAATGCAGCATGACTTCACATATAATTTAAAGTGTTTTTCTTAATTTGATATGTAACTAAAATAAAGAATATACACGTATCCAACAGAGATTTAAATCTGACAACTGCTGGACATAATTTAGTCAAATTTAAAGGAACAAGCTGGGAAGGAACAAAATATGCATAAAAACTTACAAACGTAAAAAAGGGCACCTATTTCCAAAGCATAATATAACAAAGCATTACACAAGAAAAGTTAATTCCAATGCATTCACTTTTATTGTAGTTCAATGCAATTAATTAGAATCTTACTTTAGGAGTAGCCAGTTTTAAGCAAATTCAAAATATTTTTTTCCACTGGCAAATTTTTTATTGCTATGACTAATCTTTTAGAGCTATGTATTTTCTTCCAAATAGCTTATGCCTCCATACAGAATTTGGATCACGTACCCATGCCTCTGTCTGAATGGGCCTGATGTTGCTTAGTAGCACCTCTTCATAGTTTCCATAATCAATGAATTTAACAACCGCTGTCATACCTGAAGAATGGAGAGCTTCAACTTCTGCTCGGTAAAACTGAGGAGACAAAAATGAGTTTTAAAAGATATGATAATCGATATTGTCTACAAAGGGCAATATTTGATGGAAACATAAATATTTAAAGTGTTACACTGTGCATTTTTTTGAAAGCTCATTTTTTAAGATTAATTTTTAGTGAAATATGTATATATTGTGAAATGATTACCACAGATTTAGTTAATGTTCATCACCACATATAGTTACAAAACTTTTTTTCTTGTGCTGAAAACTTCTAAGATCTACTCTCTAGGGGCACCTGGGTGGCTCAGTCATTAAGCATCTGCCTTCGGCTCAGGTTATGGTCCCAGGATCCTGGGATCAAGCCCCACATCGGGCTCCCTGCTCCGCAGGAAGCCTGCTTCTCCCTCTCCCACTCCCCCTGCTTGTGTTCCCTCTCTCGCTGTGTCTCTCTCTGTCAAATAAATAAATAAAATCTTTTTTAAAAAAAAAGATCTACTCTGTAAGCAATTTTCAAATATACAATATTTGAATGAAAATTTTTAAGGGAATAATATTTTTAAGAAAGAAAACTTAACTTTAGATAATCATAAATTGGCTAAAAAAAAGAAATTCTCTCATCTGTATGAGTTCTGACACATACTGAGCAGTAGTAAGATTTCAGGACAGAACAAAGAGGGTCAGTAGAGAATATTCACACGTTAATGGATGTAAAAAGAACTAGTGTTATGTTTTGTTGTTAGCCACTGAAGCCCCTTGACAACATTAGTAAGACGATTCTTACGTACTAATCAGAAAATATAACTATGGAGCAATTTATGTAACAAACAGAAATATATGACAAAAATAAATCTCAAAGAAGAAGGCTCACTGACACAGTCACCACAGTTAGCTGGGGTGAAGTAGGGATATCAGATAAGGAGTAAACACGTTACTTATATCCAGGATTTATAGGATTTGACACACTGCAAGACCAGATACATTTATTTTATCAGTTTACCTTGTGTAATTTGGCTCTGGGAACTAATTCACATTAACAAACTCACAAGGAACTGATTTACATAACAATCAAATTTTTTCTGTTAAGGTAACTAGAAGTAGGTCAACTAACTAATTGAAGTATTTCTCTACTATAGGTCAACCCATTCAGGACCCAAATTATAGGTCTGAATGTTGCTTAGTGAAGATGAAATGAAAACAAAAAACAATTTACTCTTAAGGAACATGTCCTTCAAACTAGGGTAGTTGGATGCTCTTATTATAACACTATCTACTCTAACAGTATCTCTTCATAAGCTTACCAGAATCAGAAAATGCTAAAGGCAACAAAAATTCTTACTGTCTACATCCTTCTAAAATACGTTATCCTGAGTATACCAGGAAAAAAAAAATCTGTTTTTACTGATTAATATCACAAAGGTTATTAAGTTAATCTATAGCATTTCCTTCCTAGGTCTGGATGCTGGCAAGTTTAGAGACACCATGCTGGAATTTTTTTTTTTTTTTTTTTTGTGGAATTTTTCTTATCTTAGAGTTCTTGATATACATTCACATCTATCTATCCCTCCATTATTGTTTAACCTCACACTTCTGTGATCTGTGAATTGCTGTATTTCTGGACGAATGCTTCAATTGTAAGCTTCTCAGATAATTATGTCAGTTCTGGTAAGCTCAACAAACAAGAGTCATAATATATCCTAGGAAAACAAATAAGTTGACATCCTTTTAGAAGCTTACAATCTAATAAAAACAACGTGTGTAAAACAATGCCTTCTATATAATGCGGAGTGTACTGTACTAATGCTGCAGTGATATGGCACTTAATAAGGCTGAGGAATTCGGGAAGAACTTGCTGCAGCAGATGACAATGGATACAGTCTTCAAGGATGAAGAAGGTTTTAGCTAAGTAAAAAAACTGAGGAGGGTGTTCCAAAGAAAGTTAATGAGATGTAAAATATGGAGATGAGTGCAGGAAACTGGAAAAAGTTTAGAGTTAATTATGGCATGATGTAAGAAGGGCCAACCAATAGGAAATTAGAAGGGACAAGAAGGTTAAGGGCCAGCAGATGGAGGCTCTATATGCATGCTACAAGCTAGATTTGTTCCACAGGTGACAGATTTTAACTAGGAAGAATGACATGGCATAAGACCAGGATTAGTGATAGTAGTTGCAATGACAAATTTAAGAGGAATAATGTGTAAGGCAAGAAAACCAATTTGGAGGTTGTTACAGTATTCCAGTTGAGAGGGCAGAAAGAACCAAACTAATTATGGCAGTCTAGAGGGAGAAGGAGAATTGTCCCAAATTCTCAAATCCTCCTATGGAAATAAAGGTTGAGAAGGTAAGAGAGTATGAAGAATTTTTTAAATGATAGATTATACTAATTAGCTGATTATCTTCATTACAGCACTATAATGCAATTAAGATTACAGTTTCTTAACAGTTATAACTTTTTTTTTTTTTAAAGAAATCTCAGCAGGCTGTTTTAATTGATATCTTTTTTTTTTTTTTTAAAGATTTTATTTATTTATTTAACAGAGAAAGACACAGCGAGAGAGGAAACACAAGCAGGGCGAGTGGGAGACAGAAAAGCAGGCTTCCCGCCGGGCAGGGAGCCCGATTTGGGGCTTGATCCCAGGACCCCAGGATCATGACCTGAGCAGAAGGCAGACGCTTAATGACTGAGCCACCCAGGCGCCCCTATACCTCATGTTTTTCTTAAATCTTTATTTTGGTTGGTCTCTGGTTAGAAAATTGGAAAGTTGACTATTCTTGACAAAACATTTAAAAGCTATCTTTTAAATTAGGTGTTTTCAGAAGACAACTAATCCCATCTCTTTTATTTTTTATTTTTTTATTTTATTATGTTAATCACCATACATTACATCATTAGTTTTTGATGTAGTTTTTGATTAATCCCATCTCTTTTATTTATTTACTTTTTTAAAGATTTTATTTATTTATTTGACAGAGAGAGACACAGCGAGAGAGGGGACACAAGCAGGGGGAGTGGGAAAGGGAGAAGCAGGCTTCCCGCAGAGCAGGGAGCCCAATGCAGGGCTTGATCCCAGGACCCTGAGACCATGACCTGAGCCAAAGGCAGACGCTTAGCAACTGAGCCACCCAGGCGCCCCAATCCCATCTCTTTTAAGGGTGAATATTGTTTATTTGTTTAATGGTGTTATTTCAGAGAGCCCACAGTCCCTCACTCTAAAATCAAAGTACACATCTAATTAAAATCAAAATAGTCACCTTAGAAGATCATCCAATTATTGTAAGAATACTCTAAAAGCTCAAAACGTTTTGGGAATTGTTAGGTACTTTCACAACTATATGACATTATATTAAATATATTCAGAAAAGGCAATAGATGAATTCAATATTATTGATTTTTTTGAGATAATTAGTTAAAAGTAAAGTTTTAATAATTTCATCAGATGTTTCAAGAAATTAGGGTAATAGCATAGCCAGAACTGTCTGATATATCCCAAGCACCTGACACTTAGCAGCAACTCAATTATGGTTTACTCAGTATTTGTTGAAGAACTTATCTGTTAAGTCTAATATCTGAATATATGTAGGTTTGTTATTATTCTGTTGCTTATTTGTTTCTCATTCATTTTCTCTCTCTGTTTTTAACCATGCCTCCTAATTTTTTATAGGATACCAGACATTGCAGATGAAATACACAAGAGGTTTCAGAAAATGTTATTTTTCACAAAAGGAGAATTATATTTTCTTCTGGTAGCAGAGTACAAACAGATAATCCTTGAGCCTGTAAATGGTTGGTTTTAGGCTTTGTAATGGATTGTTTGTATTAGTTTTGCACTTACTACTTGGGCATGATCCTTGTGGGATTTCAGTGGAAAGCATGAGTCATATACTGAGCCTTTCAAAAGTTACTGAACTTGGAACTCCATTTATTTCCTCTGCTCATCAAGATCACCAGTAATCTTACATTGTCCAATACAAAAAAACATTTTCCATTCTCAGCTTAATCAAACATTCACAGAAGCATCTGACACAAGTAGCCACTCCAAGATAGACACCGTTAGCTCTATAAACCAACACTGATTTCCAACTACTTCACCTTTACTTGCCTTTACCAAGAGGGAGAAACAGCTAAACATAAGTAATCTCCCACTACCTAAATCAAATAGTTCCTGTATGTTGGAAAGCGAGTGGCCTGAGTTGTAAGGGTAAGAGTCTGGGTGTTGAAGAACACCTGTACTTGCTTTCCAAGCCTTCCTAACAGCCAGGAAGAGCCATGTAAAATAGTTCCAACCAATGAGATTGTCTGGTGGTATTTCTGGAAAGGCTTTTGCTTTTCTGGAAGGAAAAAAAAGACACCGCTAGTGCTGTCTCCTCCCCTCCTTCTAGCCTTGAATAAAAACTCGACAGTAGAGATGCTGCTTCTAGACAGATGCTATCTCACATTCATACAAAAACCTTGTAAGACTATGCCATCTAGTTATACCACCTTATACCATTCTCCTTGTTATCATCAGGAAATATCTAACACCCTGCTTATGTCTCATCATTCACTGAACACAATAGGGCCTAGTTCCTGATCCCTGGCCCTACTGCATCCTTTTAAAAGATCCAACCACATTCCCTAGCCTGAATTTCAGTTCCCTGAAAACTACAGTTAACTTTGCCTCCACCACTCCTTTTAGCCAAACACAAACTCTCATGGGCACAACATTACCTTATCAACTGAAACTACTCTACCTATGAAATATTTATTTCAAATATTTTTTTCTTTAACTTGATCCTCACATCCACCCAGGTGTCTCACACTATAACTCCTCTTTTCTTACTCTGATCTTGCTGATATCTCCAGTCCCCTACCACTCTCCTTTTTTTCCAATATAAGTGCCCCCTTCAGAATTAAGTAATTAACAGGGTCAAGAAGTAATTTTGAAATCCTGCCACTGTGGGAGAAGCAGGGCTGCAGAGGAAAACTAGACAGACATAGTCCTGCCTCCAAGAAACTGAAAATTATGGTAGGGGAAGGAGCTATCAATCCAAGAACCAAAACTAAAAATACTTACAAACTGTGGTAAGTTTTAGAAAGTGAACAAGGAACTGATGAGAAAGACGATAGTGAAGAAGGGAGGAGGGGGCAGGGCAAAGAAGACTTCTCCAGGAATTGATGTTGGAGCCAAGCCCTCAAGGATGAGAACAGTTGGTAGAAGAGCATATTGGGCAGAAGGGAAAACATGTGCAAAGGTCCTTCTCTCTGAGGGTTCCTCCCTCCTCTTCCCCTCCTGTTCTCTGTTGATCTTCTCCCTCTCAGCCAGACTCTTTTATCTGGTCCACTGTATTCCTTCTTGACCTTATCTGTCTTTCTCTTCCCATTTCTCCATGATTTCTTGCTTTCTATTGTAGCCAGCATATAACGTAGAACTAAAAGAATGTTTAAATTATTGGCTTAATAATTATCATTTATTGTTAGCTAAATAATTAATCTTTCTGTTATTTTTTAAGTAGGCCAATTGCATATTTTCTTTAATTTAAACGAAATCTGCAGAATTTAACTGTGAGACTCAACTCATTTTCTTCCTTGTGAATCAAAAAACTTTACTAGAAAGAAAAGGAAGTTGACAGTTCAGTTGATGATAAATGAAGTAACTGATTAACTTCACTTAATTACTTTTAAATAATGTTCTGCTATACAATCTAAAATCAAATCTTACCTAACCAAATTTTGTGACTGATTCTCCCTAAGCATCCATAAAAAATATTAATATTTTATTTTTCCTATTTTATAAATTACACATTTATAAATCTGTTCAAAGACTTTAAACAGTTACAGCCATAGAACAAAACTCAGTCCCAAAGCAATGGCCTTCTACAGTCTCACTAGAATGTGACATTTAGTAATATTAGTATATGATAACTTTAGAGCATGCATACCTTGTTGTCTTCCCAATAAAGTGCAAAACATTCATCTCCAGGTTTCCACAATTTTGCATACTCCATAGGAATAGATGATTCTAGTATTTTTTCTGGTTTAATTGGCCCAGATCTTCTTTTGGGCCCACTATTGTAAAATACTTTATCATCATAGGGTGTAGCTGTGATGGGTCCTGCTGGCTTAATAGGTCCTACTCGCCTGCCCTTTAGGGGCATGTCTGTCTCTCCATTCGGAACACCAATGAAACTATTAGTTCGGACAGGATTCTGGAAATCAGTATTTATGTTAAAATGTTTTTCAATTTTTACACCACTGAAAGTTTCATTATTTATTGTTCGTGGTTTCCTGTCGTAAAAATGATCAGGATTTGTTGTTTGGTTTTCTCTTTTCCCACGTTTTTGATTATTATAATCAGTGGATTCTTGAGGAAGTGGATTTTCTTTTGCCTCTGCATAGGACGGACCTTTTCCTGATCTGCTTTGCATAGAGTTATCCCTTTTTTTAAAAGCACCATCATTGTGCTGAGAACTTAAAGGGTATGAAGTATCTTTAGTTCTGTCATATCTAGAATAGAGTCTATCACACTTGATTCTCTCTTCAGCCCACACGTCAGATCCCGAAGAAGTACTTGGTCTTTCAGAACCTCTGTTTCTAGGTAATCCACTGCCTTCTAAAATTGACTTTGAATTTTGGGTGTCTCTTTGAAAACGAGGAGGTTTCTCATTTCTTGGCTGTCTGGTATCATTTCGAGGAACATATCTTGGTTGATTATTATCTTTTATTCCATTTTGCTCAGTATTTGACAATCTGTGTTGCCCCTGATGAAGCTGCTGCGGCTGTGATTTAGGTTCTGAAAAGTAAAAGTTTATTATATACATATTAAATGAAGACTCTACATTAATATCGAATTATTTAAAAATACCCCAAAATTATTATATTAATACAAATTATCAAACTATTTATTCTAACATCTTCCACTACCTTCCCACCTCAGTATCTTAATTCCTCTCTGCTTCCTTAGAGTTCTGTATGTCTAATGGACAGTTTCCCTGGTCAGCCACATTAAGTGAAGTAAAGCAATGATATGAACCATGAGAAAATGGTGGATAATCCAAAAGGAATTTGTCTTTGTCCTTGAATGTTTGCATTCTTACAATATAGCTATCTATATGTGCTATTCTGGTAATTCATTTCCCCAGACATTAATGAAACAGAATTGCAAACTGCTAAGAAGCTGCTATGGCACTGCACTAGTAAAACAACCCTTGCTCAACTCCTTCCTGAATTCCACTTCAATTTAAAAACATATGCTATCATGGTCAGTCAAGTTCTAGCCTTTGCAAAAATGTTACTCCTCAAATCTGTCTGGATCTGGAATTGCTAAGTGTTTAGATTACAAATAGATACCCTACCACAGAAAAGAATAAATAATTTTTTTGACTTATCAAAGTAACTAAGAGCTGGTACTACTTGGAAATACAGAAAAAAATGTCAAAAATATGATGAAGCACAATAGTGCAGATAATGTCCAACTAGTAACCCAAAGCAGTAACATGGTAAATATATACTCATGGATAATTTAATGGCTGTATTTCATGTAGTGATTTTTATTCTATTTCGATCTGTAACTTGTCATCTACACTTTCTTCCTCCGTTGTTTCACACAGCATGTCTACAACCTTATTACCAAACATATTGACTGGTCTTTGCTGTACATGTCTTGTTTTTGTCATACACAAAGGTCACAATATTTCTCAACAGTGGCACTACTAACATTTTGGGTGAGATGCTTTCCCGCTCTTTAAGAAAATTAACCTTTCTGACATCCAGGCACTAAATGCCAAAGCATCCTCCCTAGTCACTGTGACAACCAAAACTGTTTCCATACATTTTCAAACACCCACTGGAGGCAAAGGGTACCAGGTAAAATCTCTCAAACAACAGGGATAAAGAGAAGACCTTTAAAAGTTCCTGAGTGAAAAAACAAGTCACAGACTAAAGATCAAGACTCAAAATGGCAAGAAACTTCTCATTAGAACCACTGGAAGCTAAAGCCAATCTAATAGGTTTTTCATGTCTTTGAAATTAAAGGAAAATTATTTCCTAAGTACAATTCTATGCCCAGCCAAATCACCCATTAATTTTGACAAAGAATACATATTTTTTCAAATATGCAAGAGTACTACTCTCAAACAGTAAGCCAAGACTATTTTACAGAGATATTTTTTAAAAAATCACCCTTTCCCAAGATTTGCTTTATAAATATAACACAAATATCTTATTTTTAACAACTGTAGTCAATATTATATTTTTCTTTAGAGAAAAGAGAAACAGTCACCTGTGGTTTCTGCCAGCACTATTATCCAGGAGTGATCATTTAGGGAAACAAGAACAGTGAACATAAGCAGGACACAAATGAGCATTTTCAGCAGAAAGCATGTACTGGCCTTTGTTCCAGTCATTCTTAGAGAATAAAAACAGCAGTTGCCTCTTGCTGACTATCTGCTATGTATTAGGCACCACACACCAGCACTTTACACACATTATCAATAGTCCCCACAGTAGTCTCAAGATACAGGTGTTACAAGATTTGTGTAATAGAGAGAGGTCCCTTGTACAGTGTGTTGAAGAAAATTTTCAGCCTCCAAAACAAGTCAAATATGAAGGTATTTTATTTGCTGTCAATTAGGTTTGAATAGATATTTGAGAAGTAAGCATTTTAGATCTGCTATGTTTAGGAATCAATTTTTAAGTTATTCCAGTTAGGGCCACCAATATCTATGATGGTCAGGATGTACAAATAACTTAGGTCATCATGAGAGTAACTAAGTATCCTGGACTATAGATAACGATCTGGATAATCATATATACAGAATGTAGGTGTGGGAGAATTTGATTTCAGTTCTTCCAAAAGAAAAAAAAAAAGGACAAGATTTCCATATTTATTTGATGATGTACATTAGATTACAGAATAAAACAAGTAATTTACTAATTCTGAATATACTTCATCTCTATTATTATGCTGAGATAATAGTAGAGAGAATTCATAAAAAATTATTTTTTTAAATAAAAATTGCTCTTAGAAATAAATTAAATGTAATAAGGCAGAAAATACGATTGTGCTTTTAAAAGAACATAGTTTTCATATACATCCATTTTTTTTTCAAAAATAAAATAACAGTAAGCCAAGAAAGGAAGGTCCTTAAATGTTTCATCATTCTTGAATGCCTTAAATCCAATATCTTTTCTTAGGTTGTTATGTAATGAAGTGAGATACATAGTAAGTATTCTGAGAGTGAGCTAACCTATTAAATAAATAACAGAATATGCTCAATTACTAAATTGTGTAAAATGTGATTTTAAGTAAATTAAGAAACAGCCCAAAAATCAAACAGAAATCTCCTCAGTTCTCCACTCGGAATCTAGTTGCTCTTTGCCACACTTCTTCAGAAGGCATGATGATTTCAAACCACCCAAAATACTACTCAACACCACAGGCCAGGTCTACAATCACTCGAGTAATAAATATACTGAGATATTTTTCTATACAGGCAGTGGAATAAAATGCAGGGTTTTTTTTAATGACCTGAAGAAGAAACATGAAACAAAAACATATATAGAAATTGGTTAACATTTAATAATAAGAGAAAAAAAGGGGAGATTAGCAAAAATAATGGAAAAATTCATCAAAAAATGGATAAAAATGTGAAAACATCTAGAAGATCAAAGTGATACCCTTTTTTTTTTTGTAAGTAGGATCTACACCCAGTGTGAGGCTTGAACTCATGACCCTGAGATTGAGAGTCATGTGCTCCACTGACTGAACCAGCCAGGAGCCCCTAAAAAAATCAAAGTGATAAAAGCTCATATGAAGAAACTAATAAAAAATTGCTGTATGAGTTCAATCTGACTTGTGATAAAATGTTCCTATCACACCGGATCATGAGTTTCAAATGTATGTTTATAAGATAATTCATTACAATATTTTACATTCCCACGATTTGAAATGCAAGGATCATTAAAAATGAATTTATTAATTGCCACAAATTATTTGGGTTTGTATATAGGCATGTGCTAAATTAACCAGGCATTTTAAAATATTAATACATAGTTGCACCTGCATTTCATAGTAAAAAATGAAGTACATTTTGTTTCCTAAGATGATTCTTCAATTTATTCTGAGATATCTACCAGAAGAAAAAGTGACTTAATATTTATTAAGATTTTACTATGTGCCTGACTCTACTCTGAAGGTCTTTTGCCTACATTATTTCATGTAATTCTCACAATCACCCTGAAGAGCAATATTATCTTTATTTTATAAATAAAGAAACAAAGAAGGCTAGAAGCTAGAGAATGCTGGTGCCAGAATTTAAACTCAAATCTAACTGAAGCCACTATTTTCCACTACACCAAGCTGCCTGCCCAAAGAAACAAAACAGAAGGCAACCAACAACATGTTAGCTACAATTTTATCACCTACATCTGTTCATTTCTGGTAAGATGCAGAAATCACAAAGGCTTTTTCCCAATCCCTGATGGGCTGAAAAAATAAATTTGGATACTAGAAAATTTGGATACTACCAGAATCCTCACATAAAATTAACACTTTCATTAATGCAGAAAAAAATTAAAACCCTTATTAAGAGTTGGACTGGTATTTGGAATCTCACAAACTGACAGAGATAGCAGTGGGTAGGGTACAACCTCTAGAGAAGGACTGCATAGGTTATACCACAGCTCTGACACTGAATAGTTTTGTAATCTTCGACAAGAGATAACTTTTCTGAGCCTCCTCTTTAAGATAGGGATAGAGCCTACCTCAGAGGATTAACTAAGTTAATACATGCAAAGTACTTAGAACAGTATCTGGCTTAAATAAGCACGTAGTAAATGTGAGCTGTCACTGTTATAATTATGATTATTATTAGCATTATAATAATGCAAACAAATTTTAAACAATACTTGGATGATAAGTTGCTTCCCTATTTACACATGTCCCCTATACCAACCCCTACCTTTAGTTAGGATCCTTACCTTGCTTTATTTATTTTTTTGTTTGCATTTGTTTTCATTGAAAATAGGGCAGAAAGAATGCTTTAGTAAAAATTTCACTGTCAAACTATAAAAATCGTATTATAGAGAAAATTTAGATCAGAAAATCAAAATCTTACTCTAATACTGTTTTTCACCTAAAATATAAACATTCTCCAGATAAAATTCTCTTATATACCCTTTAAAATTTTTTTATATTAAAAAAATATTAAGAAATACTTTTAAAAAGTAAAAATCAGGGCGCCTGGGTGGCTCAGTCGGTTAAGCGGCTGCCTGCGGCTCAGGTCATGATCCCAGCGTCCTGGGATCGAGCCCCACGTCCGGCTCCCTGCTCGGCGGAGAGCCTGCTTCTTCCTCTCCCTCTGCCTGCCACTCTGCCTGCTTGTGCTGTCTCTATCTGTCGAATAAATAAATAAAATCTTTAAAAAAAAAAAGTAAAAATCACTCATAATCCTATCATAAGAAATATAAATAGAATGAAAGTACTATCTTCTGCCTACTCAAGCCCTCCTCTAGGGATAGCCAATATTAACATTTTCAGAGGTTATTCTTCCTTTTTATATAATTCATATAGACATATCTATGCACATTTTATTTTTAAACAAAAAAAGCAGACTCATGCACATCTCAACAGCTGCTGTATACTTTTTAAATCAACTCTATATCAAGGCCATCTTTCCATGCCCAGAGGTATCTCATTCATTTTGATACTCCATGTTTTTTTTTTTTTTTAAAGGAGGGTACTTTAAATATTATTATGTATTAACCAAATTGAGGGTGGGGCATAATTCTTAC